GCCGCCATCTGATGGACAACAGAATAACATTCCCTTCAACAAATTTGTTGAATCTGCAGAAGACTTTGGTGGACAAATCCTCCAAGGCATGGACAAGTTGATAGAGATCAATGATAAACACTATGGGCACCTTGCTCATGTGAATGATAATCTGAATTCGGGAATGCAGTTCATATCTGATCGTTTTGAGAACCTCACAGGAACACTCAACAACTTCATAGCCTCCTCCTCTGCCAGAACAGATGCCCTGTCAACAGAAGTGGTAGGTATCCACAAAACACTCTCTATCTTTCAACAAACTCTCCTAAATCAAGGACATGCAATCAACTCTATCTCAGAGAACCTTGAGGCTCTGAAGAAATCTGATGCCAGCACTGGGAGGCAACTGACCTCCATTGAGGAAATGTGCAGAGCTCACCAAGAACAAGCTCAAGCTCTCCTATCTATTGACAGAGACAGATATCAGAAGATGGTGCTGCTTGAAGCCAATAACAAGGACATCTTCTCTGCCATTCAGAAGCAGCAAGGTCTCATTGAAGGCCTTACCTCTGTCACTCAGACTTTACCAGAGGCCCTTGAGCAGATAGCCTCCACTCAGGCCTCAGAGTTCCAAAAGATAAGCTTGATGATAGAGGATCTGCATGATGCCAAAAAGGGGGAAGAGGACCCTCAACAGACTAGGCCTCGATCCCACAGAACTCCTGCTAGGGCACCCTCCTCTGCTGAGCCTACAGTGGATCATGCTCCCTACTTTGAAGCTGCCCTACAGAAGAAGAGAGCAGCAGGCATACCAAGACCCCCATCTCCAGTAAAGAAAGGCACCAAGAAGAAGAAAGTCTTTAATTTCACTGAATGGAGATTGGGTGGATCTCAGAGAATTGACAGAGCTCAATTTGAAGATATGAAGGCCAAAATGACTCCCACCCAACAACAGCACCTCTATTTGGACAAAGATGGTGTTGTGAGAGTTAGGTATGGGGGATCCTTAGAATAAGCTGAAGAATGGTATAAGAAGAACATTGTCCCAGGCAAGACAATACATGAAGGTGTTCTCAGCTATATGGACTGCAAGCTTTCTCCCATTTGGGCATCTTATCAAAGCTCTGGCAACCTTTCCAAGATCAGAGCTGAAATCAATGAAGAACTGCTCAGGCTTCAAAGATTGGAGGAAGAAGCTCTGCAAGCAGCTAATTTGGAGAATGTGTAAGGATTATCTCTGTAAATCTTATCTAATAAAATCACAACTCTGCCTTCTTACTTTGAAGTGTTTTTCCTCATTTCCTGTTTTTTTGCCTTCTGCTTGTGTTTGCTTATTTCATTTATATTCTGCTATCTGAATGTACTGTACTCTTACTATTTTCCTATGCCATGTTGCCCACCAAGATTTTAATAGAAGTTTTTAAACTTTAATCTTTCTTTATGGTGAAGGCACTTCTCTGGAAATAGTTAAAGGGTTTTGGCATCATCAAAAAGGGGGAAATTGTAAGGAATATTTGTATTTAGATTTTGATGATGCTAGATTAATTAGGATTTTAGAATACCCCTATTTAGACTTAATGTATTAGAATTTTCATTTGTAAAGTTCTTAGTGTAATCGACTTGGCAGAATGCCTTCAGAGTAGAAGACCTTCTGAGCAGAAGGGCTCCAAGAGCAGAAGACCCTCGTAAGGCATTATTGAAACAGAGGACCTTTGGTTCTTTGCTCCAGAACAGAAGACCTTAGGGTCTCTGTTAGCCTTTACTCTGACAGAAACCCTTCTGGGTCTCTGTTGGATATATTCTCAACAGAAGTGCTCCAGACCTCCTCTGTTCAACTCTCAATTAAAGACACCAGAAGGTCTGGCACTTAGAAGAATTCCACAAAACCGGGAAGTCAACTAAAAGATTCCTTCAACGGTTAGGAGTATTGAACGGAAAAGCTACAGTACGCGCATTAAATGCTCATTTAATGCTCCCCATGCTCCGTAGAGTAATTGCAGATGATTGGCCGCAATGTCAGGAATACTTTATCCCAAAATAGTAACCCGCCAACTTTACCGGGCTCTACTGGTCAAGTCAACTGATCGCTCATTTAATGCAGTTGTCCTCCTACTCCTCCAACGGGAAGACAACCTCAGTATAAAAGATACACTACGAAGAACAACCGGATAACTTTGCAATTTTTGCTAACCATTGCTACAACTCTTCATACAAGAAATTCAAACGCTTAAAAGCAAAAAGCCTCCTTGAGATTAACAGTTCATCATCTTCTACAAGAGAAGGCAGAAGTTGGAAAAATACTTTTTCCAACTCAAGCAAAGTTCCAAGTGTTCTTCAACTCTTCAAGCTCATCACATACAAATCCTTTGTAACGAAGCTAGTTGGAGGAACCCCTGTTTTAACAGAAACTCTTCTTGCCACAAGAAGGACGTCCAAGTAACTTGAGTAGTGAAGTGGTGATACTTCCAGAAAGCTCAGTGAAAGGACCAGTCTTAAAGGAAGCCAGGTAGTGCATCCCAGGAGACATCTACACTTGAAGAAGACGTGGAGAGCTTCTTAAGTGATAGGGCTAAGGCATTGTAAACGGAAGTCTTTACAGCTTAGTGGAACAGTGGACTAGAGGAACAAGTTGTTCCTTGAACCACTATAAAAATCCCTGGTGTCATTTACTTACTGCTTTAATATTTGCACTTAGATAGAACTGTCTAACTCCTCAGACTTGGTATCTGTGTTCAGCAGAACTTGTCCTACGAGTTAACAGAAGGCCTACTGCCTTTGCTTCTCTGAGGCTAAATCAACAGAACTCCCTACCAGAACCCCATCCGCTGCCAGTCTGTTTTGTCAACAGAACAGGCTATTCTGTAAAATCTGGTACTTAGTTTAAAAAGCTAAAAACCAATACAGTCTATTCACCCCCCCCCCTCTAGACTGTATCCAGTATAACCGGGACCAACAAGTATCAACGGGACTTGCAACGGGCTGCTGACCGTGAAGCGGGGAAGGAGCCTGATCCCCCTACTGACTCAGATGAGGAGGAGGGTGTTGAAGAAGACAATAGGGTAGAACAGTAGATTTAGAATCTAATATTTTTAGCAGCTGTAATCCCTTCCCCCTTTTTCCTCTTTTCTTGCAAACCTTATCTGTATTTCCCGGCCGATAGAGCCGATGAATATATATATCTCTTTTGCATAAAGCTCTATATACTGTATTTCTTGCCTTTATTAAATGATTTGCTCACCATTCGAGATTCGGTCCGTTTTGTAGGACTTAACGGTTTTCTGACTATTTTTTACTCAACACTCCTAACACCTTATGTTTGCCGCTCGGGCAGTAGATAGTTCTGACAATTTATCAGGGACCAACCCCCCTGCCTTTTGTGTTGATAGCCGTTCTGGCTTCTATTCATATTTTAGGACTTAGCTGATTTTTCTGGCCTCAGACGTTTCCTTCAGTTTTACCGCATTTGGCTTCCTTCATATGTTGATAGTCGTTAGGGCGTCTGATCGCTTTTTAGGACTTAGCAGTTTTTCTGGCTTCAGATGTTTCTGATAGTCCACCGCATTTAGCTTCCTTCATACGTTGATAGCCGTTCGGGCTTCTGATCATTTTTTAGGACTTAGCAGTTTTTCTAACCAGCAACTCTCTGTGATCTTTGCTAATTCTCTGTGAGCCCGTTCGTCAGTCGGCTAATTTGAAACATCTTAGTTATTTGGCTCGCTGTACGGTAATCGGCGATCTGAATAGTATTTATCTGTTCTCATGGACCTTGTTGCTTTCCTTCGTGTGACAAGATCTGCCTCAAAACATAAGTGCCTGTTCGACATTCGCTTGCCTGGTTGACCAGTACTCTTAATCATGCATCTTCATTGTCCGTTCGGGGTACGTGCTTAATAATGAACCATAAATGCACCCTGATTAATCATAATCACGCCATGCCATGTGTTATTCATGGATTAGGTTTTTGGGCGGCACTTTCTCTATTTATAGAGAGGTGCTTGATCCTCATTTTTCTTGCTGTTTCCTTGGCTTTCTTTCTAAGCTCTCTCACGTATTTTCAAGCTTTCTCTCTCTAGAATTCTCAGAATTCCTCAAGTGATTTTATGTATTTCCCTTCTAGCTCAGAATCTGAAGAAATGCCGTTGATTCGTGTAGGAAAAACATCTGCTGGGAACAAGGCCGAAGGCTCTTCTTCCCAAGTACCTAACTCCGGCAATCCTCTCGTGGGAAAAAACACCAAACAGCCACGTGATGACGGATGCCTATCAGGGGACGACGTCCAGATTTATAACAAGGGAATGCCCGAGCGGCCACCCCGCATTCCCCTGCATTTTAACCGCATTCGTAAACAAAAACAACGTCTTCCTGAAGATGTCGAACGGCAACTTGGCCAATTACTGCCTCCACCAAGAGAATATTATGGTGGATTCATCCGGCACCCAATGAGGCATCGACCGGGGCACGTGCTAGTGCATCTTGACGCATTGATTGCTGGGCTTCGCTTCCCTCTTCATCCGTTCATTGTGGAGTTCCTACGCCGGGTTTCTGTACTACCCGCTCAGTTCGTGCCCAGTACCTACCGCATTCTTACAGGCTTCATAATTCGATGCCACGAACTGATGATCGCTCCAAGTGTTGACTTATTTCTTCATCACTACTGCTATCAGCCTTATTGGACAACCGGGTACCTAAAGCTGGTAGCCCGCTCTGATCGTCAATTGTTTACAGATAATCCCACCCCACCGGCTGACTGGGAGGAGCGATTTCTGTTTGTTCGGGTAGGTGATTCTCTGCCAATTCCGGATAGGTGGAATGCCTATCCCGTTCGGGATTCTCAGCCTAGAGTAGATGCCGTTCTACGCTCCCAAGCTGAATCTCTGCGTATGGGAGGAACCTGAAGTCTTCAGGGTTTTATTACCACTTCTAACATGCTATCTGCCGGGATTGGTAAGTGTAACAGGGCTTTAACCCGATCGTCATTCCTTCTTTCAATTTAGCTTCTTATCTCTTATTCCTTTTGTTGCAGGTGTGATATCCCCCATACCCGTTCGGCGTTCTATATCTGCTGCCACTCTGACGGCCTCCTCTGGAAAGGGCAAGGAGAAAATGATTGTCGATCATGCATCTGCGGAGCAGACCCGAAAGAAACGCAAGGGGAATGATGGCAAGATATTGATCCCGGTCGATCACGTAGTTGATTTGACCGGATCGGAGGCTGAGCCCAAAAGATATATGCCTGCCAAACAAAAAACTCCAGCTCTTTCTGATGCGTCGGTCGATGATCGGATGTTTGTTGAGTTCTCAAACATGGGACCTAGAGCAGAAGGGAGATACCTGTTCGGGTTGATGCCATCATTCATGTGGTGCAGCACTGCGATTAAGGTTCCCCCCAGTTTCATGAACTTGACTCACTGGTCAGATCTTTTTGAAGCAGGTCATCAAGAAGCACTCAAGGTACGCTTCATTCTTATCCATACCTTCCTATTTTTATTGGTTTATCTTATCTGACTTCCTTTGCAACTTGTTTTCAGGCCGATGTATACTATCATAAGGCCTTTCTTGCGGCCGAAAAGGAAATGAAACTCCTGGCCAGTGATCGGGACGACAGCCAGGTCCTTCTTTCTGCCGCTCGGAAATTAGCGGCTGATCTACAAGAACGTGCCAAGGAAGGTGAGAAGGCGAAAGCTGCTCTGGATGCAATGCAACAGAACTCCGGGCCAAGGTGCGGGCTGCCGAATCTGCCGGGATCAAATTTGACAAGGTCGTTGGTGACGATCTTCCCGAACCTTATACGGTCAATACTTCTCAGATTGCAAATCAATCAATAGTTGATTACCAACGAGGTAAAGGGCTGAACGTCGCTCTGAAGAACACAGCTCGACAATTCCTGGGACCTCATCTTGGCCTGTAACACCCCGGCCCCGCAGGACCCGAGGTAGTTACTCCAGACCTCTCTCTAGACCTCTAGTACTGTCCTCACAAACTGCCACTAGCCTTTTCCGCGCACTTTGTCCTCACTCGTGCGCGCCCTGAGAAACTTCCCAGGGGGTCACCTATCCCAAGACTACTCCCGTGCAAGCACGCTTAACTTTGGAGTTCTTAGCTGATGAGCTTCCTTAAAAGGAGATGCATCTTGTTGGTATGAGTAGTACTATTAATCCATTTAAATTAAATCTCAAGTGTTACAATCACCCCCACTTAGGAACGCAACGTCCTCGTTGCGCCCATAAACCAATCTCAAATCTCAATCAAATCCCAGAATCTTCCCCCGCTAAGTGCTCGCCCGATATCCAACGAGTCAACACACTGTCGCAGGATTGCTCTGATACCATTTGTAACACCCCGGCCCCGCAGGACCCGAGGTAGTTACTCCAGACCTCTCTCTAGACCTCTAGTACTGTCCTCACAAACCGCCACTAGCCTTTTCCGCGCACTTTGTCCTCACTCGTGCGCGCCCTGAGAAACTTCCCAGGGGGTCACCCATCCCAAAACTACTCCCGTGCAAGCACGCTTAACTTTGGAGTTCTTAGTTGATGAGCTTCCTTAAAAGGAGATGCATCTTGTTGGTATGAGTAGTACTATTAATTCATTTAAATTAAATCTCAAGTGTTACATGGCCAATTCTTACGCAAAAGCGAGGATCCCATCAAGGCAGGGATCGATCTCCTGGATAGCACGCCGGAAGGGAAATCTTTTCTAGATGTCCTGACCGAGAAAACTGTGACGTAAAGTCAGGATCTACTTCTAGATAGGAACCTCGACCTGATCTTGGAACATTTCCCTAAGCCGTTCGACCCTGATGAATTAGGATTTGATGATCTGTTTGGAAACACATATGACCTGATCATGGAGAAAAGGACAAAAGCAGTGCCTGATGATGCAACGCAGGCAGGGAGCTCCCAACCTCCACCTTCTCCGAACGGCAGTCCTCCAGTAGTATAGCCTTGTAATATTTTGCTTCCTTGTCTTTGATTTCTCTTGCTCATAATCCTTTCTATGTTGCCGAACATCATTCGGCTCACGTATCTTTATATTCCTGATATTGTTTTCAATCTGTTTTGATCCCTCTATTCAGTCATAAAAAACCAGGGTCAAGATATTTGGGCAGAAATATCTTCCTCCAAACCGTTCGTCCTTCGGTCATCTACCTGGGAATTCTGATTCTGCGGATGACAATCCAGGTTACCGAACATCATTCGTTTTGACCGTTTTGATCCCTTCATCGTTCGTGATTCACGGGGTCAAAAATCTTTTAGCTGAGGTGAATCTCTCCAAGCCGTTGTGATCGTGATCATGGGGTCAAACTCTCAGTTGGGACAGGGGCTCCCTCCAAACTGTTAACCTGTTCGTCATTCGGTCATCCGGAATGATCCCACGTGTTAACAAGCTGAAGTGAGACTATCTCCCTTCCAAATTTGTTCTGACACCTTTCCCAAGCCCGTTTTGATCCCTTTATCGTTCGTGATTCACGGGGTCAAAATTCTTTTAGCTGAGGTGAATTCCTCCAAGCCGTTTTGATCGTGACCACAGGGTCAAACTCTAAGCTGGGACAGGGGCTCCCTCCAAACTGTTAACCCGTTCATCATTCGGTCATCCGGAATGATCCCACGTGTTAACAAGCTAAGGTGAGACTATCTCCCTTCCAAATTTGTTCTGACACCTTTCCCAAGCCCGTTTTGATCCCTTTATCGTTCGTGATTCACGGGGTCAAAATTCTTTTAGCTGAGGTGAATTCCTCCAAGCCGTTTTGATCGTGACCACAGGGTCAAACTCTCAGCTGGGACAGGGGCTCCCTCCAAACTGTTAACTCGTTCGTCATTCGGTCATCCGGAATGATCTCACATGTTAACAAGCTGAGGTGAGACTATCTCCCTTCCAAACCCATAATTCCGATGCATTCCGAACTATTCTCTCTGGCTCGTATCATCCATATTAGGGGTCTGAGGTAACCCTTTTCAAACTGTAAGCAAGGTCACCGGATCGAGTCATTCCTTATTTATAGCTAAAAGGGCGACTCGCTTCCAAATCAAGTTAATGACTGAGGCGAGATTTTTCAAAACCATAGTTCCGATTCCCCGGAAGACAATCCGTACCTTATCCGAACGTCGCTCGGTTCGTCTATATCTTATAGTCTTGACACCATCTCCAAGCCGTTTTGATCCCTTTGCCCGTACGTAATTACATGGTCGAATTTAGCTAAGTTGATGACCCAGCTCCCTCCAAACTGTTAACCCGTTCCTCATTCGGTCATCCGGAATGATTTTGCGTGTTAAAAGCTGAGGTGAGAATCACTGACATCAAACTCCAGGCCATTTTAATCCCTTTAACAATGCGTAATTACAGGGTCAAACTCTATTAGCTGAGATAATGGCTCCCACCAAACTGCTAATATGTTCCTCATTCAGTTGTCCAGAATGATTCCCATGTTAACCGCTGAGATGAGACTATCTGAGTGTCAAACTCCAAGCCGTTGGCTGAGAATGACTTTCCTTCCATGCTGTTAACCCGTTCGTCATTCGGTCATCCGGAATGACCGTGTTAACCATGGACTGAGATTTTCTGAGCATCGATTCTTCAAGCCGTTTTGATCCCCTTATCCGTTCATAAATCTAGGGTCAAAACTTTCTTAGCTGAGAATGATTTTCCTTCCATGTTGTTAACCTGTTCATCATTCGGTCATCCGGAATGATCGTGTTAACCATGGGCTGAGATTTTCTGGAAGTTATGTCTCCCTCTCTATACACACATTTTTTTAGAGGTGGCAACAGCCGTTTTTACTAATAAAATTTCCTCAGATGTTTCGTATTCCATGTGCCTGCCGGTCAACCTTCGGTACATTGTAGGCCAAACGTTCCTGAAGCATACTTCTTACATATTTGGTAGGGGCCTTCCCAATTTTGTGCCATTTTTCCACCTTCGAGAGGTTTGCTTTTTTCTCGCTTCCTTAGCACCAGGTCCCCTACTTCGATTGAATGAATTTTTACTTGTTTATCAAAGTATTTTCTCGTGGCTCTGTGATACTCTTCCATTCGTGCAGCTGCCAGATCCCTTCTTTCTTCTATGAAGTGCAATTCAGCCCGTAGGTTGTCCTCATTCTGCTCTGGGCTGTAATGCACCGTTCGGTGTGTGGGAACTAGGATCTCCGTTGGTACTTTGGCCTGGAAACCGTAAGCAAGGGCAAATGGAGTTTCTCCTGTGGCCGTTCGGGGTGTTGTCCTGTAAGTCCATAAGATATAATTTAACTGATCAGGCCACGATGAGGAATATTCTTCCAGCTTCTTCTTCATACCGTCCATGATAGTACGGTTCATATTCTCTACTTGGCCATTCGCCTGAGGGTATGCCACGGATGCTCTAGAATGCTTGATTCCCCATTTGATCAGGTAGTTCTCAAAATTCCGGCTTACGAACTGCCTTCCATTATCAGTTACAATCTGTTCAGGGATTCCGAAACGGCAAATGATATTCTTCCAGACAAACTTTTGACATTTGACATCTGTGATGCTGGCCAGTGGCTCGGCCTCTACCCATTTGGTAAAGTAATCTATCCCCACGATGATATACTTGTTGTTCCCAGGGGCCGTAGGTAGAGGACCTAACAGGTCGATCCCCCATCTTGCGAACGGAAGGGCCACCGTCATTGGAGTGTAGAATGTGGCTGGCCGTCCGGGGACCAGTGCGTATAGTTAGCATACTTTACATTTTCTAGTATGTGCAAAGCAGTCTTGTTGGATAGTCGGCCAATAATACCCTTGCAGGATGATTTTTCTGGCCAGTGTCTTGGGCCCTTGGTGGCTAGAGCAGATACCCTCATGAATTTCTTCCATCACGGCCGCCGCTAGATCGGGTGGGAGGCATTTCAAATACGGCCCACCAAATGTCTTTTTGTACAGCTGTCCGTCCACCAATTCGAACATGGAAGCCCTCCTCTGGATGCATTTTATCTGATAAGCAGGATTTTTATCTTGTGAGAGGGTTCCGTCTTTCAGGTAGTTGGTCATATCTATGACCCAGCTAGGGACGACATAAGATATGGCCTCGATCTGGAGCACCATGATTGCTGGGGTTGCCAATGTTTCTCGATGGGCAAACCGTTGGATATGAGCCGGAATCTCTTGTGCCCGATCGTCGAACGTTGCATTTTCTAATTTGGATAAGATATCTGCTTCAGTATTCTCTATCCTGGATATTTGGTCGAGCACCACCTGTTCAAATTTGCTTATCTGCTCCTCAACTATCTCTTTGTAAGCCTTCATTCTCTCTTCTTTAGCCTCAGTTGTGCCATTCACTTGATGCACCACCAATTGACTGTCCGATTGGACTTTTAACCGATTGGCGCCCAAGGTCTTCGCATATTTTATACCCGCAATAAGGGCCTCATACTCAGCCTCATTATTGGTTACTTTGAAGTCAAAATGGATGGAATAATATGCTTTGAACCCTTCGGGCGATGTGATCACAGCTCCGGCTCCACAACCCTTGGCACTAGCTGCACCATCCACATACATTTCCCACCAGTTATCCAGCCCAATGTTCTCTGAATCTATTTCCGAGGG